ATTCAACAATAAAGATGAGTTAAAATAAATACATACATACATTAATCAGTTAATCTATTAATTAAATTAAAAAGTGAAGGGATTAAGCAAAACAAACTCATAGACATACAACAGTGTGGTGATTACCAGCAGGTAAGGGGGGTGAAAGGGAGGTAAAAGAGAGTAAAGGGGGGATGAACGGTGATGGAAAGAGATTTGACTTGGGTGAGGAACACCCAATACATATACAATAATGAGTTATAGAATTGTTCACCTGAAACCTATATGATTTAATTGACTAATACCACCTCAATAAACTCAATGAAAAAATAAAAAATAAAAATAAAATTTAACCATACTAATGATCAGGACTTTGCTTATGCCATCCCAAGCACTCTCCCATCATTTATTGACTTATATTTGGTATGACTGAATTAAGCAGAATGGACAAAAATAGGAGTTATAGAATATAACCAAAAGATAAAGGATTTGATAGAATGTGATATAGAACAGGAAACAAATGCTCTTTGAAACGTATTTAAATAACATTTATACAATGCAAAACTTCTCAGTGAAGGGAACCCTGCCTTGCTGTTTGGGTTGAATATGATTATGTTAAAATTAGATGTCAAATAAACCTTGCTTTCTCTACAAAGAAAAGTAGATATGTTATTGGCAAAATGGCACCATAATGTTACAGACAATTGGACCTTGGTTCAGCAACCCTGGTACTTTAGTTCTGGCTAAGAAAAACTTCAGAGTCAAGACTCAAATGCAAGCAAAAGTTTATTTAGAAAGTCACAGAGGTAGAAGTGAGCTTGGATGAAGTGAGCCATCTGGGCTGCATGGGCTCAGGAAACTAGTTACAGAGGCAAAATAAGAGCCGTTGGAGCTTAGTAAAAGGGAAGGCAAAGGTAATATGGCCACAGGAAGAAGATGGTGCAGGCATGCTCAAGAGAGAGAGAGTGCTCTGGATTTTCCATCCATCCTGAAGGTTTTTATTCCCTCTCTAAAAAGGGGGATCTTAGGGGATGTTCCAGGAGAGGATCTCAATAGAATATTCATCAACTTTTCCAGATGTGTCCTTTCAGGGCAATAGTCTCTACTGATTGGTTGGCACCAGGAGGCCATTAGTCATCAATGCTGATCCTGATGTCAGCCATGGCATCACCCCACCTGGCCTTGCTGTTCTTCTGGGCCTGGAACTGAAACACAACTGAAGCCTAGATGTTATCTTTAGTTTGACCAAAACTCTGTCTCTGTGGCCAACAGACCCAGTGTTTTGTTCCTAAGATTATTTAATGTTCAGTCACAATTTCATTGTCTTGAGGGCTTAATGCTTAAGGGAGTGCTCATGAAAGAGCTTGTTTGGGAGTTGTACGAGGCTATTCTCCAGTCCTCTTGTTTTCATTCTAAGGGGATCTACCACATGACTAGCAACATGCCAGGGGAAGAAAGGTCAGGGGAAGCTCCAAATATCATGACCAGCTATATGAAAAGTCTGGGGGTCTAAACTGCAAGACCAGCAATATGCTAGAGGAGGAAAGGTCACCCTGGGGGTGAGGTTCCGGACTACAATTATCCATTGTTAGGTACCCAGGGCTTTCTGCCTGGTGACATTCCATACCCAGCCTGTTCCTACTCTGCTCATGCGTGTCTAACTGCCTATTACACAAAGACAAATGCCTGTCTCATCTGAGTTTATTTGTTCATGGGGCAGGCAAATGAACCAGGACAAAATTTTTAAAGTTGGATAAACATCCTATCAATATGATCTAAATTAAAGGTTTCTTCTACTTAAGTGACTTATTCAGATTTTAAATGATTTCTTAAAAATATAAATTATAAATTTTCAAAAATGCAATTAGAACTCCCCCCAAATGTTTCCCACTAGATGCTGGTAGAGGACTTGCTTAGAAGAATGACTAATTAGCACATGGAAGATGTGACCTGAGTGCCTTGTTATTGGTTTATAATTAATTTAATTGGTTAATCTAATATCTTTTATGGGTAGGTAAAAGGTAAGCTTTCTTCTGAAGGACTACAGATATCATTAATGGGGTCTAAAAGTAGGAACCCTCGACATAGTGGTTACATTTGTAACCCCAGCAGGTAGCTCAGTCCTCAGTGCTGGCTACAGCGAGAATGACACCAGGGATTCGACTCTTGGGGTCAGACAGGACTTTACAGGACTGTAAAGTATTTCAGGATTTTTTCCTTCATCAATCTCGAACATACAAAGGGTGCACTTGGCCTTTACAAGCAGAAGGCCTATTACTATCTGAACATAAGAAAACTAAGTAAATTAAGACATTTACAGACAGAATGGCAAAGCAAACACATGGGTTACCATTTAATTTTTCAGATTTCTGGCTGTGAAGGGAGGGTTGGTTCAGAATTGTAATGCTCAGTAAGATGATATTTAACCTTATAATGTGTAAAAAATCAGATATACTATTCAAGTGTTCTTGATTCTTCATGCTCCAAAAACTTAGTAAAAATGTACTTAAAAAAATTGTATCTTTGATATAATCATTCAGTATCCTCTCAAGATAATATTCTTGTTCCAATAAAAGCTTTTTTTTTTTTTTTTTTTAATTTCCATTGTCCAAGGGGAGTGTTTGGAAGATGGGTGAAAAAAGCAAAGAGGAATATAGTCAATAATATTGTGATAAGTTTGCACAGTGACAGATAATTACTAGACTTAGTGGGGTGATCGCATTATAAGGTATAAAAATATTGAATCACTATACTATATGACGGAAACGAATATAACTAAAATAATATTGTATACCAACTATGTTTAATTAAATAAAAAGAGTAGATATATGAAAACAGAAAAATAAAAAATAATAAAGTAAAACTTCCTTTGGCCATGTTAATGCAAAGCTAGGTCATGTTAAAGAAAAAGAGTTTACTGATTGCTTAATAAGGCAGGTTTCCACACTTCCCTCCCTCACCCCTACATTTCTTAATTCTTCCTAACCTCACTCTATAATTACTACAATAAATTACAGGCACAAGTTACTCAAAAGAGCATACCCTGCAGTTTTCTTTACTTAACATAGTGCCAATATATGGTGTTAATGGCTGCGCTGTTAAATGTTATAGTCTACATACCCAATTTACAGGTGATGCAAAACTCTGGTCTATTGGCAGAGAAATAATTGAGAACAAGAGGTCTACAAACAAGAAAAAAGAGGAAGTGTTCTTTGTTTTTCTTTAGAAAAAGCTTGTGGATCACTGTGTAGTTTGGTTGGTTTAGATGTCTGTAAATGTAACAGTTTGCTTGGAAATTGGACATGCTTCCTATGGGAAATTTGGGATATTTAGGCATAAAGAGTAAAGGATGTTGAACTTTAATGTTGTTGTTTTTTTTCTAATGACTCTCAAAAAGATAAAGAGAAAGAATGTTATCTGACAAGAGCCTTGTCGCACAGTGTACTCTCTTGGTTTAGTTAAGTTCCTGTGATTAGTTCCTGCACATGGAATGCCAGTGAGGATGTCTGCATTGTAACAGGAACTTTAAAGACACATTTGAAAACAGATTATCCAAACACCAATCTAAACAAACAGAAAACAATAACTGTATTACTATCTTTTGCAGTATTTTTTTAAATAATTGGGATTTGGTACAATGAAATATGAATACTTTACAAAGGTCTGAACTGACAATGTTTACGATAACTTGCAAACCATTAAAATAATTGACTGTATATGTATGATTGGGTAGAAATATAAATTTGCTTTCATGACATCTGGGAAATGTTTTAAGGAGGGTTATTTATGAAATGTAACCCTTCAGTGTTCAGGAATTGTCCAAAAGCAACAACGCTGTCCGTCTTTTATCCCACAAAGAACTGGACTGAGATTACCAGTTTATGTTAGCAGGCCAAAAAAATCAGTATTGCTTTGTATACAGTATTTGTGTATGTTCATATGTAAAACTCAGCAGGTTTAGAATGAACTAGCCTGTCTTCACAGAACTACCAAAGATGGCCATAACCTTGATTTAAAGTGTAAAATAACTTTTAATTAATATAGTTTAATTACAATAATGTGATCTTGAATTTATAAAAGGTACCTTGCTTTTATATCATTAAACTTAAAAAAAATAAATCACTTTCTTTTAAACTCCACAATCTGTCTACCTAAGAAATGTTTCAAGGATAATGTGTATTGTCCTTTTTTTTCAAAAAAAAAAAACACAACATACAAGCTGATGTCTCTTCTGGAACAGAATCTTTTAAGTTATAGTAGTTATAGTTTGGGTAGTTTAAGAAAAAGTACAAAATTAAGTAAAAAAAAGAGACACTTTTAAGGCTCCCTTGGTAAGTTATTCAAATCTGTACTTACCATGAAAAAGCAACACTTTATAAAGTTATATACTATCTCAATTGCTGAGAAATCATAAATAATATTTTTTTAGTTTGGCAGAAGTTTAACAATAAATGTTTAGAAATCACCTTTAACATCAAATGTGAATTGAACACTATAACTAAAAAGTATCTTGTAGATATTTTTCAGTGAAACTGTTATTCATAATAAGACAGTATTTTAAAAGCAATATAAAAAAAATTCCTTCAAATGAAAACTCTGTCTATCTCATATAGAAGAGGAGAAAAAAATTAGAAAAAGAGAAGAGAGTCACAAAGTGATCAGAATCAATCTACTAATGGAAAAACCAAAAAGTAGTTTTTATAAAGCATTAATCACCAACCGTATGATTTCTGAGCTAAATTAAATGTTATACCCATTTCATTTATTCTTTTTAAAAATAATTGTCTTCTTAAATTTTATTGCTTTTAGGCTATGGTCATCACGCTTATGACCTGAAATACATGTGTCAGGCATACAACCAATTGGCACCTATCCTTTTTTTAAAGGTAGAAAAGAAGATGACTATTATATTGTAATACTTTGTTCTCTCTCTCCTCCTCTTTCTATTTTTTTTTGTTTTTTTTGTTTTTGTTTTTGGATGGTTGGTGATTTGTTTGCTTCTCCTGGTTCCTGTTGATCAGTGGTGTTTGGCCAGTTTGTATTTTTCCAGACATCACTCCACGATGTTGTTGAGGTGTATGATGGGCCAACTCAGCAATCTTCTCTGTTATCTTCCCTCTCAGGATCCCATTCAGGTATCCTTTACTAGAACTGCCATGCATCAGTTATTGATAAAGACTGACTTTGATTGATATTGTAGTGAAAGTTGAGATTTATGTCATCCATATTAGAGATAAAGTAAACTGAAAATAGAATTACTCGTTATTTTTTTTTTTTTAAAGAATAGAAACACAATTAACAGTAAATCAAATGCTTGAGAAAAATATAACCAACTATTTACTGGGATTGTAATCAAGTAAATGTAGTATGTAGTCACTTAGTCTCTGGCGTTTAATGTATTATAACATATTTAAGGATTCTTTAAAGAATGAGACAATATGTATCAAAATGTAATTAAAGTCTGCCTGTAAAATAGTTGCTGTTAAAGCTGAACCCATAGGAAATATATTGTTAGTGGTAGGATATATTAAAGTAATTTGATAGAACATAGACTCACGTTTTCAAATGACAGTGTAAATTAATATAATTTGTTAGGTTTACTGAATGAAATTATTTATGATATCTTAGTGTTTGTTTTGTTGAGTAGGAGAATCACTTCCACTGAGTTCAGGTAATCAGATCACAATTCGATTTACTTCAGTTGGACCAATAACAGCTAAGGGATTTCACTTTGTTTATCAAGGTAAGTGACCGGGTAGCCTAGAGGCACACTAAGGAATGATATCAGTTTCCGTGCTGTGTTCAAAGTTATTGAATGATCAGATCCTCACAATCATATAGGAGAGATAAAAGTTGTGTGTGTGTGTGTGTGTTTTAAATAGTTTTGCCCTGATCCTTCCCCATCACTACAGCACTATCACCTTGACCAAAATGAAAAAACACCTATATCTTCCATTATCATTCTCAAGTCAATTCTGATTCCCCTTTCTTCGAACATACTGTTTTCAAAACATTTATGTGTTTTTTTTTCTGACAATTCACTTTCTACATATTCTGTTTTGCTCATAGAACTCTAAACTGAATTGTACAAAATTTTGTGCTGATGTACTTAGCTAGTCCAAGGAAATCATTACTCCATTCTAAAATTTCAGTTTCAAATGTTCTTCATAGCTACTAAATATTTTTGTGCAATCGAACATTGGTTTACAGTTTTTCTCACCTTTTATGGATAGTCTTCCACATTATCATTAAATTAAATTGGGCTATCATTTGAAATATTTTGTTTTAGTTATATGTAGTCATTTAGTATTCTCAAATGTATCTTAAACTTCCTAAAAAATTTATAATCATTTGTGATTTGATATTTTTATTAAGCCCTCATTCCATTAATAATACTGGTTATAATATTGTACTGTTTTATTTTTATTAGTATTCCCTCTGTAAACATCTGGGGCATCTTGAATTTTGAAAGGCACTATTAAAAATTAAATTACTTTTACTCAAGTCACATAATAGAAACCAATCTATTTGGAATTCATCTTATCATTCTTTGGGCTGTTGTCAAACGCTTTAATTCCATTTGTATGCGTTTTAAAAAGAAAAAACATCCTGTTATCATTCTATTTTACTAAATTAAAAAAAAAGTCACAATTAAAGGATATAACAATAATTCTAAAAGCAATTTCATATTTGATATTGTATGATTACTTAAGGATAAACTTCTATTGTTGTTAATCTGTCTGACTTCTGCTTAGCCTGAGTATAGTTATAGTCTTCATCAATAACAAACATGTTTTGAACAGCTAAATTCATAAACATGCTATGGAATTAATAAAGTATTGTGTTTGTTTTTTCAAATCTATGTTTTTAAAGAACAAATACTGAAAAATAAAATTATGACCTTACCTGACACATATTTTTAGAATTTGATGTCTCAGTTTAAAATATATATATATATGTATATCATTCAGTTATAACCCCATAAATTGAAATATAGAACTCGAACTACTTTGCTATATTAATAAGAGTTTTGTAAAACAAAACATAAAAAAAGATTTAGTGACATTTAAAGGATCAAAGCAAAATGTTTTTAACTAAAAGATCTTGAAGACCATATTCATTTTAAATTGTATTTTATTCTGTATTAATTTTAAAACTTTTAGAAATATATTCAACATTTTAATTGAAGTTTTGATAACAAGTGGTGATTTATTTGAAGTCTTCTAAAATAGCTACAATTTGAAGTCTATGTTTCTCTACCACATCTGAAGTTAAAATCAATAATTGTTTGTATGCAGCTGTTCCTAGAACAAGTTCCACACAGTGCAGTTCTGTGCCTGAACCAAGATTCGGAAGAAGGATTGGCAATGAATTTGCAGTCGGTTCATTGGTTCTTTTTGAATGCAATCCAGGATATATTCTCCATGGATCCATTGCAATTAGGTGTGATACAGTGCCCAATTCTTTGGCCCAGTGGAATGATTCCTTACCTACCTGCATTGGTGAGTATGTAAATGGTATGCTTTGTCATTGTACATACTTTATATCAAATTAGTTATCTTGTATCTTTCAGTATTTCTATTTCATATCTAATAGTTATGCATTATTTTTTAATTACTTTATTCATTATGATGCACCTAAACATACAAATTTAAAGTGACTATCTGATGTAATTGAGGTGTACTGTGATCAATGAAAATTATTTTGTGTTGAATTAGCTGGAAATATTTCTCACATATTGATTTATATGGATAAAAATATACATCATATTTGCAGTAACAGAATTTGAGTGTTCCTAATAAGGGATTATTGAAGTAAGTATCTTTCATTTTAAAAAGTTTATGCAAAGACCTCTATGCCAATATGTAAAGAATTTACATGTCTTTTAAGGATTACAGAAGCTGATATTTTTGGACTTATTTTATTTTGGCATCTAAAGAATTAGAAAATATTCATAAGTGAAAAAAATGTGTTTTTTCACTTTTAGTTATAAATATGTGTAAAAATATAAAATAAAACGGTTTCTGAGTCTTTTATAAATATAAGTGGTAAACTTTGAGTGTATAAAATGTTTCAAACTTTATTTTTACAGAACAATATCCAATTTAAATTGGTAATTAACATATACATTTAGCTATGAGCCCTTTGCCCTGCTAAGTTACGTGAAACAGACAAATGTTTTCTAAATAATAAAAAATAGTTGAGAATTGTATACTATTTCAGGATTATTTCAATGACTTTTGGTTCTTGCAAAGTTCTTTAAATGTGGAAAATTTAGAAGGTAGGGAAATTGCTTTCTTCTCTGTCTCAAGAGCATATCTAGAACAATTTTGTAGTAATTATATGCTATTAAATTAAAAGAAGAGTAATAAAACAATAACAAGTTAAGAAATATTTCTAATGTGTTTTTTTTCTCTTTAAAGTCTTATTGGTATGTGATTTGGAAAATAGAAGATAAGCAAAATTTCATTTTTTTTTTTTTTTATCCTCACCCGAGGATATTTTCCATTTTTTTGTACAGATAGAGTGGGAGGGAGAGAGATGAAGGAGAGAGAGAGAGAAACATCGACGTGAAGGGACACATCGAGTGGCTGCCTCCCGCGCGACCAACCAGGGCCGGGGACAAACTGCAACCGAAGTACGTGCCCTTAGCAGGAACCGAACCCGGGTCTCTCCGGACCGCAGGCCGACGCTCTAACCGCTGAGCCAAACTGGCCAGGGCAGCAAAATTTCATTTTTATTTTAATAATCTCATTCTGTATTTCTTTATAGAGAAGAATGAATCTGCACATGTAACATATACACTTATAATTCATTACACTCATTTTAATGACACGTTTTACCATACCTGAAAAGAAGTTCCATGTATCAATAGTTTTTTACTTTTCTTTAACTTTCAAAACACATTTTACCATATTTTACCCAAATTTAGCTTAATATTAGCTCATAATTCATTACAATAACATATATTTTTAAATTGTGTAACTATATGGAAGGTATTCTAATTTCTACTGAGGAAGGAGTAAAGCTAAAGTCTGTTGATATACATGCATACACCATGTAATTTGTATAGGATGTATCTGCTCTACATAGAATATATGTTTACCATATGTTTAAAATAGAAGAAAAGTCCTATTCTATATGATAATTATAAAGCTTCTTTGTATGTCCAATATGTCAGTTTGTCTGCCCCAGTATTTTTGCCATCAGACGTAAAATTCCATGTAAATAAAAGGAAGGACATTCAGTAGTGGATTCATCTCAGTAAGGACTGGTGTTCCTACCACTCAGGAAAGACTATGCAAGTCCATGGCTGGTATTCAAATTCAGGAGTAAATAAATGCTAATATACTGTCCTCAGCCCAGAGGGATACAGCCACACTTTCTACTTTAAGGGCAATAGGTGACATACTCAGGAGCCATTACAATCTCTCTGTCAAAAACCCGTCTCTTTGTAGGTCCCTGGGCTTTTTGAGAAACTTGCTACTGTAAATATGGGGTGTCTTTAAATGGAACATACTACCTTTTATTTTGCATTGGTTTGAAAGTACATACCTAGACATACAAACTGTATCAGATGACTTCTATTTCCTGCCCAGATCACTTGAAAAGGACATACTACTTTATACCACTTAAAAAATATTGTTCGCCCTCTACAACAGGTATAAATTCAGAAAACTGAACATACAACAGAAGGACATATGAGATCTGTATGAGACAAGAAATAGAAAGGTGATGATTCTAAATGACAGTTGGATGATTGTTCAGCTTAGGTTTTACCATGTGTTCCAACTGCTCATCTTTACATAAGTAAAAACATACTTTGCATTTCTATATTTTTAACTATAAATATTTTTAGTTTTAAATGTTCTGACTAAAAAATTGTTGTCTTAAAATATTTTAAAAAGAAAAGGCTTATGAACCAAGTGCAGAGTTATCTTAGGTTAATATCAGAATATTATCTTTAATTTGCTTTCATTTTCAATATTTGTTAGTAGATGAAACACTGATTGCCTCAAGGCATTTATTTGAACTTTGTATTTCTTTTCTTTGGTACATGCATCCTTGAAATTTCTTTTGGGTTTACTGCATTACTTCATCATGTTCCTTGACATCGATCTAAAATAATTGTCTACCATCCATTCTCTGTTGTTCTCTACATCCTACCCTGCTTTTTTTTTACAGTTACAACCCACCATATTATATAGTGTTTAAAAAATTCCTCATCTCTCTTATTCTCCTCAACCTGCCACTATCTTGTTTATAAAAACAATTATGCTCAACTGAAAGAGGATCTGGCACATAAGTGTTCAATAAACATTTAATTATTGGATTTTAGCAAAAAACTTTTATGTCCTGAATTTTTGTTGAGGTCAAACAACTGACCAACGGGTTGAGTCTGGGGCCCATGGGTGTTAAGCTGTCTTTCACCGCATGGGGGTGTTCTTGCTCACTTCGCTTGCTTAGACCTTTCCAAACCACCTGAAGTTTCAGACCCCACTGAGAATCCCTAGGAAAGACACATAGGTAAAACACAAGCAACAGATTTACATATTTCATGGCAATTTTATTCTGAGAAAGAGCAAATTCTTTATTTGTACTTTATAGTTTAGATATAACATTTGACAATTTATTGTCAGGATTTTATACATAATGATTGTATTGTCTTGGCCTTGACTATTTAATGAATGCCCATTTAACAGCTTAAGTCAAACAAGCATACAAGTGAAATAAAAACAGCTTTGTGCATTTTTAATGATTTCCATCTCAATGGTACTGTTTCGGTTATTATTGCTGTCAACACTTTTTTTTTTTCCTTTTTCCTTCATAGTAAAACACAATAAAATGTTCAGTAATGTCGCATAAACTGACACTGGAATTAAGTTGTGGACTGGAAAGCAGCCCCATTAGACATGATATGCAAGCTGTGCTTATAGTTAAAGTGGTCAGATACTAAGTCAATGGATGCACAAATTGAAATATCAGTGTGTAAACCAAATTTAATAATCTCATACAAATCTGTTATATCAAGCCATCCTTAGGTAAATTGCAATACAGTAAAGTAATATTTTGATAAGGGCATTGGACTTGGAACAAATGTAAAACTGAAAAATATAAAGACTTTCTTTTCATCTTCCAAATTTGACCTTGTACACTTCGGATTTCTTAAAAATTTTAGTCTCAAACCTTAAGCTCTCCTTCCTCTGAGACTCTGAATCAAATAACACCCTGCATCCCCTAATTGCTCTCACCATCTATGGCCTCAGGCATAAGTACTTAGGTAGTGGGAGGTCTCTGGAAAAGTCCCTGAACCTGCCACTTACTGGCTTTAGGCAAAGAGTCCTTAATCAGCTGCTTATTTCTTCACCCTTATCTGGGTTTGTTTCTTCAGAGTTCTTTAGAGATGCAAAAAGAACTGCTTTATTTGAATTGGCTCCAAGAAGACACCTGTCCCTGTCATCTTTTCTTCTAGTGGGAAAGAAATAGATGAAGAAATATATACAGGATGTGAACCCTCATTCATTCATTCATTCATTCATTCATCCATGAAGAAGTTGTTAAATATAATAATAAATATCAATTATTAGCATTTATATGAAACATACTATTAAGCATTATCTCATTTAATAATTCACACCAACACCAAAGGTAGAAACGGTTGTTATTTTTTCTTTTATATATAGTGCTAATTCCTTAGCAGTTCTAAAATTGTAAAAGACAAGGATTTGAATCCAGTGTACCTGATTCTAAAGCCTTTTCTCTGTCTTTAAAAAAAAAAAAGTATCTATTGATCTATTGATTTTTAGAGAGAAAGGGAGAGAGAGAGAGAGAGAGAGAGAGAGAGAGAGAGAGCATCGATTTGTTTTTCCACTCATTTATGCATTTATTTGCTGATTCTTGTATGTACCCTACCTGGGGATCAAACCCATAACCTTGGTGTATCAGGATGACACTCTAACCAATTTAGCTACCTGGCCAGGGCCCTAAAGCCTCTTCTCTGAATCCTTATGTTATATAGTATAATATTGATCAAAAGGGAAATTTGTAATATAACTTTTTAAAAATAGGAAACAAATGTTAGGTTGAGTAACACACATGGAAAGTGAAACTTTGTAAAACATTATATACGTGGGAATGTTTGGGAATACTTTTATAGTATATTTTGTTGGTAAAAACATAAAATTATTGCCCTGGCCAGTTTGGCTCTACAGTTAGAGCATCGACCTGTGGTCCAGAGAGACCCGGGTTCAGTTCTCACTAAGGGCGCGTACCTCGGTTGCAGTTTGTCCCCGGCCCTGGTTGGTCATGCAGGTGGCAGCCACTCGATGTGTCCCTTTCACATCGATGTTTCTCTCTCTCTCTCTCTCTCTCCCCCTCCCACTCTATCTGAACAAAAAAATGTCCTCAGGTGATTTTAAAAAAAAATTTAATAAATAAAATTATTAAAGTGGAATTAAATGATTATGGCGTGTTAGGAAAATACTAGGAAAAAAAAATGGTGCAGATTTGGTAAAGAGTTAACATAACCACAAAACATACAGAGATATACAACCAGTCTTTCAACATTGTATTCAGCAAGCATTTATTGAGTACTTACTAAGTGTCTAGCACTATTCTAGGCACTGGCTACATATCTTTGAAGAAGACCATCCCTCCCTGCTTATGGAGTGGATAGTTTAGTGAAAGAAAATGGAAAACATTACCAAATTTGGTCTCGTCTTTCTTGAGTACTGTGGAGAAAAGTGAAGTGGGCTGGAGATTAGAGAAAGACACCCAGTACCTGCTGCGGCTTTATACCCACGTGAAACAAGTGGAGGGATTATGTAGAAGTCTGGGAGGTGAGCAGTGTGCAGACTGTGTCGGGGAGAGAGCTGGCCATGTTCAAACCACAGCAAGAATCCTAGGTGTCTGGAGCCCAGCGAACGCTGGCGACGCTGACAGACGTGTTGGGAAAGGCAGAGCACAGGCCACGTTTTGGAGCCTTCACGTCAGTGGGGATTTTTCCTAAGCAGGGTGGGAATGTATTGAGCTAGGGAGGCTAGCGTAAGGAGGGTGGAGCAGAGCATTGAGATCGATGAGAAGCCTGTGGCAGTGGCAGTAGTGAAGGGAAAGCACACTGTGTTTTAGACAAGAAGGTCAAGGTCAGTGATGAGAATTTGTCAACTTTGAGATATATTTTGAAGATAGAGCTGACCAAGTTTACTGATAGATTGAATATAGATGTAAATGTAAACTTGAATGTAAGAGAAATTGAGTCCACCCTGGCCAGTTTGGCTCAGCGGTTAGAGCGTCAGCCCATGGACCAGAGAGTCCCGGGTTCGGTTCCCACTAAGGGCACGCACCTCGGTTGCGGTTTGTCCCCGGCCCCGGTTGGGGTCTGTGGGAGGCAGCCAGTCGATGTGTCTCTCTCACATCGATGTTTCTCTCTCCCTTCTGCTCTATCTAAAGATAAGTATAAAAATATCATTGGGTGAGAATAAAAAAAGAAAGAAATTGAGTCCTATATTTTTGACCTAAGAATTGAAGGAAGGGTGGTAACATTTATGGCGATGGAGATAGTGTGAATGGAGAGAGAATTTCAGTGTGAATGAGGAGAATTTCAAAAGTATTGTTTTGTGGGGTTTTTTTTAGTCTCTCTCTTTTTTTTAATTAGAAAAATTTAATGTTGATATTATTGCAGGAGTCTCCCTGTCCCCCAACCCCTTTGCTCATCTCCTTGCTCCCCCACCAACCCTTTTCTTGGCCTTTAACCAAATTATGGTCCTTGTCCATGGGGTATGCATATATGTTCTTTAGCTATTTCCTTCACCTTATTTATCCAGTTAACCCCACTATCCTACCCAACATATTAATTTTGAGATATTTATTAGACATGTTATTGCAGAACTCTGGGCAGAAGTCATGGCTAGAGATAAACATTTAGTAGTCATAATATGTAGATGACATGGAAATGAAGCTCTCCTTGGGGATGGATGGTGGTTAGAAAGAGAAGAGAAGATGGCCTAGCATCAAGTCACAGGGTATTACAACATGTAAAGGATTAGAAAGGGGATGATGAACTAAAACAAAAAAAGGACTGTAGCCAGCGGCATAGACAAAAGCAGCAGTGCGCTGTTCTGATGACTCAGCAAAGAAAGGCTTCACGTGGAAGGAGCGATCAACAGTGGGGGATAATTACGCATAGATTGAGTAAAATGCAAAGAGATTTGCACATTGCATCACAGCAAGCATATTCTGCTGACATTGACCTTGTCATTTCAGTAGAATGGGGAAGACAAAGGCCTATGAAATGAGTGGAAGGAGAATGGAAAGTGATGAAGAGGGACAGCTTGTCGCTGGAGCTGCGTGGAGGGACACCCTAGCGTGCAAAGAGTAGAAGAGTTACTATCTTGTGCTATAGTGAACAGAGTACCAGACACCAAGCTGATTACTTCCTCTTCCCAGGCTTCAGTCTACTGGAAGAGACTAGCATAGAGAACATGAAAACAGTGTATGAATAAGCTGTGATAGAGATGTACAGGAAAGCACTTGGTGATCTGTGGGAAACCTTGGGGCACTTACCGCTCAGGAGAGTCGAGGAAGGATTGCACAGCTAACATGGACATTGAAAGTCCCTGGAGGATAGGCCAGGAGAGAGAGGACTATCAAGTCACAGTGTTAAGAAGTTATGTTATTGGGCTGGATGGGGATGGGGAATTGGTATGGTGGGCTATTGGGAAATTATGGGTACATATAAGCCTGGAGATATAGTTAAAGGCTAATCAATTAACTGTATTTATCTGTAGAATGAAGGAAATGGAGAGATTTTTTTAAGGACTTTCAGCAGTGAAGCAACATGATCAAATTTTCATTTTAAAAAGTCATTTTAATAGTAATATGACTACTATATTACATGGAAAATACACTAGCCACAGGAGGTCCATTGATGTGATTAACGTAGTAACCAAGAAAAAAGTGAGCGAGGTAGGGTAGGGTCAATGAACATGGAGAGGAAGAGGGTTTGTAAAGTATTTCTTTCCACTCAGGATCAGCAAGTCTTCAATCACTTCCTTTTCTCCTATATTTGGGGTGAATCTTCTTTTTTTCCACAGTTCTCCATTCACCTCTGGCATGTACTTTTAAATCATGCAAAACTGTTGGTTTTTAAATACTTTCTGACCAATTTAACCTAAACTTATGTATAACCCAATAACATGAATTTATTAGAAAATACAACAAAATGACTTCATAAAAATATATCATCACACTGTTAAAAACAGTTGCGCACCCTTTTGAGGAATCACCCTAGGTTTTTGCATTTAGTTTTTGAAGTGGCACATAACTGTGTCATTAACGTTCAAATATATTACAAAAGGTGTATCTTGATATCTCCGCATTATAGCCATACTAGGACAAATGCACGATGATAACTGTACCTAAAATAATAATAGTTGCAAAAGGAAGTAGGATTTATTGACTTCTTTCTGTTTTCTGAGTAATGTGCTCCCTTGTTTATGGACACGATCATGTCATATTTTTCACAAAAGCCCTGTGGAAACAACTGTGTTGTGGTTTCACAGACAAAGCATCTGAGTTTCAGAGAGTTTAGGAAACATGTCTGATGTCACACAGTATTTAAAGTGGTCAATTAGGGCATGCCCCGAACAGAGCTATTCTACTAGCTGTGTGAGGCTTTCACTTTAAAATCAGTACCTTTGCCCTGGCCAGTTTGGCTCAGCGGTTAGAGCATCGGCCTGTGGTCCGGAGAGACCCGGGTTCGGTTCCCGCTAAGGGCACGTACTTCGGTTGCAGTTTGTCCCCGGCCCTGGTTGGTCGTGCGGGTGGCAGCCACTCAATGTGTCCCTTCACGTCGATGTTTCTCTCTCTCTCTCTCCCTTCCTCTCTCTCCCTCCCACTCTATGTGTACAAAAAAAAAAAAAAAAGGAAAAATATCCTCGGGTGAGGATGAACAAAATAAATAAATAAATAAATAAAATCAGTACCTTTGATAGAAAACTTCACTTTAGAGCCGGTCCACACACTTCTTTCCTATAGTAGTGGTTCCGGCAGTAACCAGACTGCTGCCCTGCAGAGCACCTTCCTTCCACTGAAGAGCATGGACGTGGAATCACCCTCCAAGGGTTCAAATCCCAGCTCCTTCTCTTACTAGCTCTGCAGTGATCCACAGGTTACTTCATCTCCTCGTGACTCAATTTCCTCAGCTGTAAAATGGGGAGTAGACTTACTCACAAATCATTGGATTTTTGGGAGGCTTTAATGAGTTAAAAATACGTAAAGTGCTTACAAAAGTGCCTGGCAAATAGTAAGCCTTACATAAATGTTATAATCATAACATAATTCTTATCAGCATCATCATCATTACTCCTCAAAGGATACTGCTATTCCTCACATGATGTATGAAGGGAAAGGTAACTAATATGAAATAATTCTTCAAAAACGTTTGTATCTAGATATGAGAAATTTGTAATGCAAATGTGTCAATGCACTTTTAGTAATGTTCTGTAAATGACATGCTATCATAGAGTTAATTATAGTATGATTTTAGGTATGGAATTGTAAGGTTACCCATTAATATGTGTAATTAATTCGTAAAGATTTTGTGGTGTCAAAAGACTTCATTTTTATTTTTATGAATTTTTTAAAAATAGCGTGATGTGGTTGCATTTGCCAGTCTATACCTGTCTCAGATATTAGCTCTGACCTCTTGTCTTATGTTAATCTTCTGCATTAGAATTCACTTCCTCACTTGGATTGCTTTACTTTTAGTGCCCTGTGGTGGAATTTTAACTAAGCGCAAAGGGACAATTTTGTCCCCAGGGTACCCCGAGCCTTACGACAACAATCTGAATTGTGTGTGGAAGATCACAGTGCCAGAGGGAGCTGGCATTCAAGTAAGGATATTTACATTTTTCTTCTTTTCATTGTGTGCTTGAAATTAGTCCTCTCAGAGGTGACCGGATATACATTATTGCTAAAAGTATAGCCTTTTGATGGACATGGTTGAATTTGATAGAAAGGTACCTATTAATGTTTCCACCTGCAAGTAATAGAAAGATAATTCAAAATGGCATAAACAAGAAGAAACATGCGTTGCTCCACATAAGATATCCTGGGCTAAGATGATTCAAGGGTTGTTTACTTCAAAGGTTCAGTTGTATCATTTTTGACCCAGGTTTGTCCCGTCTCTGTCTGCCATCCTTAGCATGGTGGCTGAGTTCTTGGACTTCCTTTCTCATGGTCTCGAGATGGTCTTAGATGCAACAGCTCTAAGCATAACAACCTTTACCCAGCACTGTCCAATACCCAACACTGAATGTCTGTCTCCTGGGCCTTTACGGTGGTTAAGAGAACTTTTCAGAAACCTTCCAGCGGACTGTCTCCCCTGCACTGAGAAATAGCAACAGACAGGAGTTTTTGAATTTACCTTTCTAATATTTCAGAAAATTCAAAAAATTACTTGACAGGTGTCAGGAGTCAAATAGGTCAGTAAACCAATGAAAAAACATGAAATGTCCATTTTCGGTGTTTTAAGGACATTAAAAATCAAGACTATAGATCTGTGCTTACATTCTGGTTGACTGCATTACCACATTATGGCCAACTCATAAAATTTGGAGATAACCAATCAATCCTACCTTATGATCAGTAAAATTAAAAAGGATTTTAGAAACAAAGAATTTAGGAACAGGAAATCTGAAATGAGGCAATGCCTCTTGAATCTTCATAAAACCTTTACCACATCATCTGACTATGAAGGTTAATCTAAAGCATTTTATATATTAACATCAACATCCATCTCTACTCATCTTAAAACAATAAAAACACTGGGGTTTTTCTTCTGCTCCGCATCCTCTGTTTTTGATTCCTGCCATGTGGTTTCAGCACCCAGGGCTCTGACCGAGCCACTGGCCTAGTGACCATGAGGACCTCGTCCTTCACTCCGTTGTGTCGCTCGTCGTGTTTATTCTGGCGATAACATTCTGCCCTGAGATTCTCCCCTCACTCTTAACATACTTGTCCTCTTCCTAATTTCCAAGGCACCAATAGTCCATTGGACTTTGTCTTCTTTTCTTTTCTCTACCTGTCGCTCCTGCTTGAACATCTAGGAGCAGGGTCTCCTCTTCCTGTCCCACTCCTCACGGGTGTCTGTGAGTTCCTGTGGCCTTGTTCATCTCCCTTTACACCTGTCTCTCAGCCACGAGTCCACGCCCACCGCTGCTGCTATGTGCTGTTGCCTAGACCTGAATCATCAGAGACAATCAGAAAACACTTCTTTAATACGGGCTGAATAAATCATGATTTCAAAACCTAAATATCTAATCCAGACCTTTTACCTCAGCTGTGTGCCACACAGGCTATGGCAAAAGTAGGTTTCCAGCTATTTGTATGGAGGATAATGAAACAATTAATAAATAACAATCCAATAGTAAACTCTGGGCTTCTCGTACTCACAGTGTACAGCTCCTTGTGCCCCAACTTGGGCATGCGACTGCCCACTGTCCCTTTTCTGCTACGCTCTTTGCTGGTCCCTCAAGTTCAACGTGTTCAGAGCCGACTTCGTGATGTTTTTCTCAAATTGGGATTTTCCACAGTGTATTCTGTCTCAGAATGAGCCCTGAGTTCATTCAGTTGCACGAGCCAGAAATCTCGGTGACTTCTCTGTCTGCTCTGCTGCACAGTAAACTGTCAGGTTCAGAAACCTAAGCACATCCATTTCTCTCTATCCAGAACCCTTAGGGTTCGGTGGCCACCCTCCCAGTCCCGGGTTCTTATTCTCCATCAGTCTATTCCTTGTAGGACAAACAGAGCAACTTTCAAAGAATAAGTATCTAATACTATCACTTTCTTGCTTAACAATACCTCTAGATACTTACCTCCTTGACAGAGCTGATTACACTCGTATGCTTTGTCCCCACCTCCTGCGTCTTCTAGTCACACTATCTCCGTTCTTTATAGAAATTGGCTCCCTCTGGCCTCGGCGCATGCTGTTCCCTGAGCCTGCAACACACTCCGCATCTCCTCTTCCTTGCCTTACTCTTAATCATAATTTCCGTCTCAACTTAGAAAGATTTTCTATGGAAGACCTTGAGGCAAGGTTAAGTCCCATGCTGTGTGTTCTGGGAGATGCCTGTATTTTCATTAGCATGACACCTGTGGTGTTTTGCTGTTAGCATGTATGTGTAAGCTCACGGGGGCAGCGACGGGTCTGTTCCAGCAGGTTGCATGGGTGCTATTTTCAAAACGAACCAATGACTATTTCCACAATCACGGAAGTTTCGGATTATTTTAAGGAATTAATACTACACGATGAACTGATAAGAAATCCGTAGGAAAAGCACGTTGTATATCACTTGTTCTAGTCAAACACTGTTCAAAAGTAGACACACATAAATAACACTATAAAATCTTTCACGGAGAAAGCATTTTGTGTAATAATTGATGTCAGAAAACACATTTGAGTTTAGCAGAGCATTTATCAAACTTACAGAGCATGAAGCATATTGAATTTATAATTTTAAATACGCTAAATGATAATCAAGCACTTTTTTCTAATTAACCTCTTATAAGTATGCTGATTTTAGATCGATCACTAAATTATAGGAAATGCTAGAACAGTTGCATACACACATACATACTATATAACATATTTGAAATTTTAGTAACTTCCCCTTTAAGCCATCTGGCTAATACACCCGGCTTAAAGCAATGCTTCTTTTATTTTACTCTGAATATATGTATGAACAAGGAATTATATGAACATCCAATAAATCCCGTATGAGATGAAGTGGGATAACCACTTGTGAAAAGAAGAAACATTTGAAATGCTGAAAAAGTTATAAATAATATAGGATGGTTGAACATCCTTTGGAAATAAGCTCAACAAATAGATCAAATATTTCTATTAATATTATATGAGAAGTTTGTGGGGAGAAGGATATTCATTTGTTTGCCAGTGCATTTTAGTAAAGTATATTGGAGGGAGAATTCCAAGAGGCTACATTCCACAGTAACAGAGTTATGAAGCAAAGAGCAATCTTTATGTGATGAACCATAGAAAAAATGTTGGTTACTTAATTATCTCAATTTATAGAATGATCATCATTAATATAATTTTTTGAACAAAGTAAAATGGCATTTGAATGTCTGTATGAGGGCTATCCGGTCTTAATAATTGTTCATTCATCACCTCATGAAACTCTGACTCCTCCTAATGCCAATCAGTTGCTCCTTGTTTAAAAAAATATTTTTTACTCAACTTGTCTTAGGCTTTTGTAATAGTGTGTCCTCAATCATTTTACTTGTGTCTTCTACACCCTTTATGCATTTATTATGCCAAACTACATTTATAATTTGCCCAGCATCCTGGTAGCGAATTGTATGAGTCTTCTGTGGCTGCTGTAACAAGTTGCCATGGATTTGATAGCTTCAAATGCTCTCAGTTTATTCTCTCAGTACTGGAAGCCAGGCTCCATGCTCCCACTGCCCGGACTGGGGTGAAGCCTTTCCTGGCCTCTTCGACTTGTGGGGATGCCTGCATTCCTCAGTGTCCGTCCCATCCCTCCAGGCCCCGCCTCCACCGTCACACTGCCTTCTCCTCTTCTGCCTGGCTCTTGGGATCTTTCTTTTTTTTTTTTTTTGAATAATATTTTATTTATTTATTTATTTTGTTACAGATATTTTACCTTTTTACCCCATTGGTACCCCCCACCCTAACCCCCCTCCACCCTGTCCCCGGCTTAGTTGTCCATGTCCATTGGTCATGCATACATGCATATAAGTTCTGTGGTTTATCTCTTCCCACCCCCCCACCCCCCCATCCCCTCTTCTGAGGGATATCAGTCTGTGCCCTACTTCCATGTGTCTGGGTCTACTGTATTCCTCAGACTGTTATGTTCATTATATTCCGTATATAAGTGAGATCATGTGGTATTTGTCTTTTTCTGCTTGGCTTCTTTCACTTAGGATAATACTTTCCAGGTCCCTCCATGTCGTCTCAAAGGATAAGAGATCTTTCTTTCTTACCGCTGCATAGTACTCCATTGGGTATATGTACCACAGCTTTTTTATCCATTCGTCTACTGGTGGACACTTGGGCTGTTTCCAGATCTTAGCTATTGTAAATAGTGCTGCTATGAACATGGGGGTACATATATTCTTCCTGATTGGTGTTTCAGGCTTCTTAGGGTATATTCCCAGCAGTGGGATCACTGGGTCATATGGAAGTTCAATTTTTAATTTTTTGAGGTAGCACCATATTGTTTTCCATAGCGGTTGCACCAGTCTGCATTCCCACCAACAGTGTATTAGAGTCCCCTTTTCTCCACACCCTCGCCAACACTTGTTGTTTGATGATTTGTTGATGGCGGCCATTCTGACAGGTGTGAGGTGATACCTCATTGTTGTTTTAATTTGCATCTCTCTGATGATTAGTGATGTTGAGCATTTCTTCATATGTCTCTTGGCCATTTGTATGTCCTGTTTGGAGAGGTGTCTATTCAGCTCCTCTGCCCATTTTTTAATTGGGTTCTTTGTCTTCCTTTTGTGGATTTGTATGAGCACTCTATATATATTGGAAATTAACCCCTTATCTGAAACATCATTGGCAATGATGTTCTCCCATACAGTGGGTTCCCTTTCCATTTTGATGATTGTTTCTTTTGCTGTGCAGAAGCTTTTTAGTTTGATGTAGTCCCATGTGTTCATTTTCTCCTTTATTTCTGTTGCCTTAGGTGATGTATCAGTGAAAATTCTGCTCCGTATGATGTCCGAAATTTTGTTGCCTACATTTTCTTCTAGAATTTTTATGGATTCACGGGTCACATTTAAGTCTTTTATCCATTTTGAGTTTATTTTTGTGTATGGTGTAAGTTGATGGTCTAGTTTCATTTTT